CCTGGCTGGTTTGCAACTTTTATCTTTTTCTAACAAACACATTTAAAGCCGAGCGCCGAGCTCACACCCCTTCGGACGCGTCCCGCCGCCGCGGCGTGAGCCGTGCAGGTCAAAGCAGCTCCAGAGCCCGAGCGCCCGGCCAGCTCTGAGCGCCGGGGCCGTGCGGCTGTGCGGTTGCTTCCCGCACACGTTCGTCTCCTCGTCCGTACAGAGCCCGGACTGCGGGGCACGGAGGTGACTCCGCTGGTCCCCACGGCCCCTGGCCAAGCGCAAGGTGAGCGCTGTGTGCACGTCGCGTCTGCTCGCCGCCCTCCTCGCTGTAAAGCGCCTTCTCGTCGCCACCCTCAGCGTGTTCGAGACTAGAGACCGTGTAGAGCAAGCGCCGTGACGGGTCTCTTTGTCCGTCCGTCCAGTCTCTGAGTCGGAGAGAAGCGAGTCTCGTTCGGCCCGACGGCGAGCTGGGGTCAGCGCCCGGCGCCCTGGGGAGAGCTGCTGCGGCGCTGCAGGCGTGTGGCTTTTTCTAGCTGTTTGACCATCTTACTGTTCCTTTCGTTTCACGAAGGGTCCCTGTTTGTCTCTCGAGATTTTTGCCTTCATCGTGTTTTTCAGCATCTAAAAATTATCCCTGCCTCCCTTATTCGGGCTCGCCCAGCAGATGACACCCCATACCTTGGTTTTCATTCTTTTCCCCATGTATTTTGGGTTAAGTGTCTTCTGTAGACAAAACGTTGCTGGATCTAACTTCTTTCCGAGTGAAGTTTTTCTTTTTGGCTGGTGGGCTCGGCACACTTACATTAGCGTTGAAATGATTTTTGCTACAATCGCAGGTGGAATGTTTGTGTCCCGCTTTGCCACACAGTGAAGCCCCCGACGTGACAGTGTTTGGAGGTGGGGCCTTTGGGAGGTGACCAGCCTCCTGCCCGCCGTGTCCACCCCATGGAGCTTCCGAACCTAGCCTGCTGGTGCTGGCAGCGACTCTCGATGGCTGCTTTCCAGGGTCCCCCAGGTGTCACTCTGCAAGGCCCCACCGTGGCTCCCCAAGTGGGGACAAGGAATTGAGTCCCCACGAAGACATGCAGTCCGCCTAGACGAGCCAGCCCTCACTGGACAGCTCCCAGTGTGCCCATGGCTTTTGCCTTTCACGTCCCGGGATGTCCCCCACCCCGGGCCCGACCTCCCAGACACAGCTTTTGTGACCCGCTGCTCTCCATCTGCTGCGTGAGGCACGTGCCACCTCGTGGGCCTGGGCTCACTCGGTCCTCGACCACACAGCTGGGACTCGAGCTTGAGGAAACGTTTGAGGACCCGTTCAGACGGGGCGGGGACATCCTCTGTGGGCGAGCCCGAGGATCTGTCCCAAGGTGGAACACTGTCCCCCGCACGTCCTGAGAAATGTGGGGAGGGGGATCCCCATGGAAATGGCCTGAGCCTCCGCCTCAGGCCCCACACACCCGACGTAGCCAGGGTCCCCTGCACACTCAACAGCAGAGCCCAGCCCCCAGCACGGTCACGCGGTGGGTGACAAGGCGGCACAGAGGCCCGTCCACCCCTCCCTGTCTCTCATCCACCCCTCCCTGTCCCTCGTCCACCCCTCCCTGTCCCTCGTCCACCTCCTCCCTCTTACCGAGGCTCGAGGTCTGGCCGGTTGTCAGCTGTGTGAGTCCTCTGCATCCCTGGATGTGACACAGGCCTTGGGCTAGCTCTGCCCCAAGCCACATTCTCTGAGATCACCGACAGAATCTGGCAGTAGCCCGCGCCTCCCTGAGGGACGTCTGCAAGCACACCCAGCTCCGTCCTCCTCCCGCAGGACAGAGCCAGCTCACACCCCCAGGAGGCCATCGGGGAAAAGGCCAGAGGTCAGCGCTGGCGAGGACCTGGAGAACCAGGAGCCTCGTGCGCCTGGCGGGAACGTAAGCTGGTGTAGTCATCATGCCAAACAGAGTGGCGGTTCCCCCAAAACTAAAACCACGACGACCCTGTGACCCAGCAATCCCACTTCCGACTGTTTATCTGAAGAGCACAAATGAATTTGAAAAGATCTGTACCCCACGTCCAGGGGGGTGCACGTACACACTGGGGCGCTGCTCGCCACGGAAAGAACGGAATCGTCCCATTTGTGACGGCGTGATGGGCCTCGAGGCTGTCGTGCTGAGTGTCAGACCGAAAAGCACGCAAGCTGCAGGACTTCGCCCGTGTGGGACACAAAACGCAGAACAACAAACTATCGAGACACAAAAACAAGCTCATGGGCACAGCAGAGTGGGGGCGCCGGCGGGGACGGGGTGGGGGGCACGCAACCCGGACACAGAGGTCACGCTATGACCTTGTGCACCTAGAATCACGTAACGTTACCGACCAATGTCACCCCAGTAAGTCTAGCTTGAGTCACCAGGCTGGAGGATGATCCGTCACCAGTGTCCCCTCTGCTCCCAAAGGTCTTACCTGCGAATGTCATGCCGATGCCCGAGACACCATGGTCCACTGGAAGAGGGACAGTCACGTGTGGCCAGGGGTCGGAGGCTGGTGGCCCGTCCCCTCACGTTCCGTGCCCCCGGTCGTTCCAGGTCGGAACACCAACCACCACCCCCGTCAGGAGGGCACAACCAGACCAGCAAAACCAAATCAATCTCTTTATTGTGCCATTGTCTTCTACCAGAAAATTATTAAAATATAAATATAAAATCTCTAGAAAATACTCAGATCTGTAATCTCCGCCCCCGCCCCGACCGGGCCAATCTCTTTGCCCCTCGACAGCCGGGTGGATCACGTGTGTCTGACTCACATCATCCACTGGAGGTGACAGGGACATCCTCCCCTCCAGGGAACGCCCCCCCCCAGCTTCCGGAAGCTCAGGTAGCGCTGCCCACAGGGCGCGGGACAAGGGGGTGGGGAGGACAGGGAGAGAAGAGACTGGGCCCCAGAGTCCACATGTGCACACAGAGGACAGGCCCTGCGTCCGTCCTCACCCCTGGCCTAGACCTACCCGCCGAGGGCCAGGTTCCCAGAGAGCCGGATCTAGGACGAGGGCGGAGCATGCACGAGTGTGCACGTGTGCTGGTGTGTGAATGCGTGTGTGCGTGTGTGCTGCTTTGCATGTGTATGTGCGCGTGCGTGCGTGCGGTGTGTGCGTGTGCGAGCACGCGTGCGTGTCAGGGTGGCTCCCACACTGCAGTCGTAGGGCGGTGAGGCTGGGCGCGGACACGGGAAGCGGGGTGGACAGGGCTGGTCTGAGCCGGGGGGCAGGGAGGACCGTCAGCGCTGGAGCAGGGCCCCCAGCCCCTATTTGGTGTCAGACGTGTCCGGGGAACCCTGGGTCACCGTGGCGGTGGTGCTGGGACCGCTGGTAGGACCCCGTGCTGATCGGGGTCAAGGGCCAGGGCTGCAGCGTGGCTGGGGGTGGGGTGGGGCAGGGAGCACGGTGCCCGGGCCGGCTGGGCCTGCGGCCTCGCACCCATGGCCACAGCATCACCCAGCCACAGCCGCCCGGTGCTGGGAGGAGCGCAGGCCCGTCGGAGCCCACGGAGCCCCTGCTGTGGAGGCCAGGCCGGGTGCGCCATGCACCAAGGCCCCCTGCCCCACCCCGCCGCGCTCAGGAGAACCCGGGGCACTCTGGGAAACTCACGCCCGAGTTGCGAGTCCAGAGGACACTGCACATCAGGCGAGGTGTCCCAGCCCATGCCCTTACTGTGACGGCCCTGCACGTGTGCCCTCGCCCACAGGGCGATGTGTGCACGGACCCTCCTGGGGACAGGCACGAGCCGCGCTGCTTTCAGAACGGCAGGAGACAGGAGGGGGCTGTGCAGGGAGGGCCGCAGATTGCGGGGGTCGGGGTGGAGTTGGGAGGAGGAGGCCGGGACAGAGGTGGGGAGCAGGGCCCAGGCTGAGGTGAGAAGTGAGCGGAACAGTGAGCGAAAACGGGGTGCGGGGCTCGGGGGAGGACGGCGACGCGGCCACCCTGCTCGAGGACAGGGACGGGCTCTTCCTGCGGCCCGGGCCCCAGCGGGGGACTCCCCCACCCCCCGACAGCACAGAGCAGTTACCCCGGAGGGCGGGACCCAGTCAGGGTGGGGTGGCCGCATCACCGCACGTGGGTCCCAAAGGCGGGAGCAGAGGGAAGCTCGTGGCCTCAGTGCCGGGAGCGACCCCAGGCGGGAGGCTCGGACCTGGCTCCAGAGTGGATAGTGGCCGCCAGGTCAAGAGGCCCGGGCTCTCCCCACGTCCCCTGCGGCCTGCGCCCCGTCCTTGTCCCACTTCCACTGCCCCCCACTTCTGCTTGGCTCCCAGGGACCCTGAGTGCCGACCTCCTGGGTGCCCAGAAGACCAGAGCACGCTGTGCAGCCACTTCCCAGGCTCAGTGCCCACAGAGCTGGTCGGCCCTCCCGGCTGGCAGCGCGCTGTGCCGGCCCAGGGACAGCTCACTGAGCTCTGCGCCTGGCAGGTGGGTTGCCCGAGACCCCAGTGACAAGGCTGCTGGGGGTCCCAGGCCCGGGACGGGCGCCCACAGGGAGAAAGGCTGGGCCACTGCCAGGGCCTGCACTGTCTCAGTAGCAGCCTTGCTGGGCCGCATCAGTGGGTGGCCTTCTGGGTCTGCGCCCGTCAGCAAGCCAGAGCCATCGTGCCCAGCCTGACCCGAGGCCAGCAGAGGCAGGAGCGGAGACGCTGGCCGGAGGGAGGTCCCACCCGGCCACCCAGCAGGAGCCGGAGCCGGCCGGGCCCAGAGCTCAGGGAGCCAGTGGGGACGGCCCCGGCCTCCGCCATCCACGGCCGGGCCCTGCCCCGGGAGGGCAGCATGGCGCCGGGAGGATGGCTGAGCCGGCCAGGGCCGCGGTGGGGGCCCTACTCGAAGGACAGCAGGTCAGGGTGCGGGCCCTCACTGTCCAGGCCGCTGTCCTCTGGCCGCTCAGCCGGGCTGGTGGGGCTCGGGCTGAGTGAGCGGCTGTTTCTCTGGACGGGTCCGGGAGAGGGGGCCCTTCCGCCCTCGGTGGCCTTCAGTCTGGCCTCATCCTGGCTGTCCTGGTGGATCAGGTCGGGGACCGACAGGGACAGCTGGCCATTGGGCAGAGCCCCACCCCCATGCACCACGTCCATGGTGACCTCTGCGGGGACGGGCGGGGCGTCCTGGGGCTGGCCGGGGACCAGCTCGGCCCCGCAGTCCAGGCTGCTCAGGACGGGCTGGGAGGAGATCAGCATGTCCCGTGTGGTCTTCAGGGCCCGAGGGGTGCGCTTCCGGGTCGCGGGAGGCGGCGGGGGCTCCAGGCGGGGGAACGCTTCCCACGGCCTGCAAAGGGACAGTGACACGCATGTTGGCGGTGGCCGCCCCCGCCCGGGACAGCGCGGGGGCCCTGAGGCCGGAGTGCAGGTGGCTCTTGGTCTGTGACCGTGGAGCCTGGGCAGGAAGCCCTGTCGGGCGCAGGCG